TGCTTCTGCTTTTCAGCTTTTTGGGATTATTTGGATCCCGGTTTTCGAGGGGTGCCACGTGAAATGGCCATAATTAAAAATACATCTAGGCGGCATGTGGATTTTATGTGTGTCCAAGCTGGACCGAAAACCGTACCGCAGTCGAAATCGAAAGTGAGCTGGCGAAACATTGAAGGAGTCAACAACCTGTGCGTGTTTGCTGCCTTCAATTCGGTGCAAAACACCCAGCTCATTAACTCAGCATCTTAGGTGGGAATTAATTATGCAGATTTATTCATTGTGTTGCGATTTCAAGTGTGGTAAAATGCAGCCCGCGTAATGAAGGTGTGTGCTGCCAATGATGATGATGATGGGTTGATGGGTTTTTCGTCTTGGAACTTGGGTTTTTGGGTTTTGGGTTTTGGGCGGTGGCCGTGCCCGATTTGGGAACACCCTAAAAGCTCTTCCAATCAACTTCAGTTTTTGATCTGACAAATTAATCTACGTCGAAATCACTTGGGCTTCCGCCCTAGGAGAAACATTAGCCGTGGAAGTAAGCACTTTTCAACGGATTTCGGTTTTGAAAGTGAATTTCACTGATCATTGACCTCGGACTGTGGTTGCGTGTAATCGGTCGAGACCGAGGCCTGCCACTTGGGGATTACATAAATCCGAAATTAGTTAATAAATGAAAACTGTAAGCTGTGAAATGAGAAATAAGAAATGCTATTGTTCGATATATTGAAATCATGGCGTTACGTTTCGATAAATCTCTTGGCCGCTGCAGTGTCGGCTGCAGTTTTCTACTGACCCGAGGCTTTTCAATCCCCATCTAGCCGGTCTCGCGGGGTTGGCCAATGAAATTGGCTTATGTAAAAACGCCGCCTTCAGCAGCCATAAACTTAGTGACATAAAAATTAACGGATGACAAGGTGAGCAAACACTCAAGACAATTGTCAGGCCTGCGAGCTGAGTTAACGTTTGCCAAATAATTATCTTGTTGCTAAAATGATGGATTAAGTGCAGGATGGTCAGCTATTTCATGGGTCCAGAGTTGAGGTCACCAATTACCGCTGATTAAACCTGATGACATGGCGTTTACACAAAGTAATTGCAGACATGTTCAATGTTTTTTCTAATGCACATTAACTTAATTATTACTCTTTCTCACTATATTTTAAAATAGAAGCCCAGGAACCCAAATAATTCACAAATATAATTGTTTTCAATACGTACACTTATTGGCCTCAAGCAACACATACCTTTGGTTTATTAAATCTTATTTAATATTTATTTTGTTATATATTACCCTGAAAAACGAAACTATTAGGACTTCTACTTACATTATAAAGAAAGATCCAAAAAGCATTCGTTTTTTTTTAATGCTAAAATGAATTTTGATAGTATAGACTCTATATGTCATAGGTTTGATTCCAGTTTTAGTAAAGTTGTTGCTTTTATTTAAACCAAATTGCTTTTACATATAGATGCATTATGGTATAGGTTGGGTGTGGCTATTTTTACTTTATTGCTTAAACGAAAATATAAAGTCAGCTTTGCGCTTTAGGATAACTAATTATATGTGAAGATTATAAAATATTTGTAATATACTTCCCATTTCTCTATAACAGTAGCTTATTCTAATGTGTACAATTCTTTACAAAAAAACGGAGTTCTCTTCTCATAAATATAAGCTCAATCGTGTGAATTATTTTTCCCACTAATCTACATAGTTTTCCTTGGTCATATCTGGCCTAGACCTTGCCTCTAACCTAGTATCTCGGGCATTTGCATGTAGCCTTAGCCAGCCTTATTGATTTTATATATTCACTCCACCTTCGCAGGTGATATCGCAGTGACACCTAGCCTCCCAATGCAATTAACGGCCTAACTTTCCACCACACCCACCGAATTGGGTCGAACCGAGTTGGATTTCAATGAGGCAGGTTTGCAGGGGTACAAATGTTTATACAAATAGGCATAATTAAATGGAAACCGTTCTAACGGGTTGAGTGTGATTCGAAAGATTCCAGTCACGAACGCGACTTGACGACAAATTACCGTTTCACAAATGCACTTGCCAAATACCCAAGAACCCGCTTGGCCAAATAAGCCCGACTAAAAATAATCCACCGATCGCTGCTCAATCAAAATCACTCAGGCTGGGGTATCTGTGAGCTCGAGTATCTGTGAGATACAAATGGCATGCACTTACCACGTGTTTAAGGGGGAAAAGGGGAAGGGAGTGTGTGGTTCAGGCCAAACAACTTTTCTTCCGCGTTGCACATGCGATCGCGATGGCGATGGCGTTTGCAGACTACATACTACGTACTGCAGACAGCTGAAAACAGAAAACAGACTTGAGACTGCAAACCGCACCCACCCACAAATGGCCTGCTAAAATCAACAATTAAAACCGCTCACAATCTCCCGCCTGCATCTGATGCAATTTTTGCATTTTTCAAATGTCTTTTAATTTTGCGCTCGCAAATTACTATGATAGTCTTAACTGGACAGCAGACAGCAGAATTTCAAACCGCTCTGGCATAATTTGGCATTCAATTGGGTGGCTACGCCCCGTTGCAGAATTAAAAGACCCACGAATACAGCTGCATGGCAAACTAGTTTCTGAACCCTAAGAGAACCCGAAAAATCTAGGCTCCGGCTCCTGAAACAAAAGCAAGAAATAGCTAACTGGGCTATGAGTAACTACTCGAAACTGCTATTGAAAGCGAAAGCATAGCTGACAAGGTAGCTCGGTTTTTTGCTGCAGTTGATCCAGCAGTTGTTGTGGCTGCTGCTTTTGCACTTCTAAAACTGGTTCGCTGTCTGGACATGTAGGCAGCCAGTCGCAAGTCTTCTAGCCTCCACTTCAATAACACACGGGCCCAGCCAACTCGACTCACCCGAACTCGGCTGAACTCGAGCCCAACACAGGAAAAAATGTCCAAACAGAGTCTGTATTTACACTCTTTAGGTTTCAGCCAGTCATACGTGAAAACCTAGGGGTACTCAAATTTCTCTATACCGAACTTGGCTCGAAATCTTCATAACTCGAACTAGTTATATAAGCAACAGGAAGGAGATATTCATGTTTAATCAATATTTTTAAGCGATTTTCTAAAGGTCGTTTAAGCTTAACGCACTGAATAAAACCTGCATCGTTTTAATTTTACTTAAAATTACTTAAATTATATAGCTAATAGCATCTTATTTACTGCAAGACCGTCATAAGTCAAAAAAGTCATTTGGAAGAAAACACGTTTTACCATTTTTAAGGAAGGTGTAATAGCAGAACTTATACAGAATCAAAAGCACGTTTATCTGATATAATTACTCGTCCCAAAGTAGGTATAATACAATGTCATTAGAAATTAATTCACCTATATATTGTCCCAAAGCCTTTCTAAATCGTTTAAGACTTTTAAGTATTTGTATATTTAATATTTATTACTGAACCCAAATGCGATGAAAATGGTATATGCCTTTGTTCTCTGTGTTCAGTTAATTGGATTTTTCTAGTACACACTGCACCTTTTTCCTCAGTGCCCCCTGTTCGATTTGCCATCATCGTCAGCTGAAACTTTTCTGCTGCAGTCGCTGACTGTAATTTCATATTCTTCCTGCATTCCGAAACCTTGAATCACATTTCTTGCATTTAATTGCACACATTTTTTGCGATTTTTCTTCTTGCCACTCGAAGGCGCCGTCGAGTGGAGTGGCTGCCGTTGACCGCCGAGCTGGGTCAGTTTTAATAGCCGCAGCCGCAGCAACAACACACCGGGCCAATAGCAGCCGCAGCAAAAACAACTGGCTGGCCTACCTTTTACTGGCACGCACTGCATTCGAGATGACGGCCTGTTTTAAATGCCAGCCAGTTGAGTGACTATGGGCTAAATGGCTCTCGACGTTTGTTTATTTTCATTTGCTCGGCGGGGCGCGGGAGATGGATGCATAATTCGAGTTGCATTGCCGGCCACCGGTTGACCATCGCATTAGGAAATCATGCTAATGGAGTTGATTAAATTTAAGCTGTGTATGAGTTTCGCTTGCAACAGCCACCACGGCGTATACGCAATTTCTACATTAGCCATAAAAAGTTACTTTTGGTAAACGTATGATCACAAATAAGTCAATGCACTGATTAGCAAATATGTATTTATCGAAATATTATCGGAAAAAACTAGATAAATTAGCCAATCTTGGAATAAAAATCGCTTATCGACTACTATATATTCAATTAATATGATAAAAATAATCACGGATATAAATGACTCACTTGACAAACTGGCAAAGTTCAGCCATAAAGCGAAGTATCTTCTAGTTTGTAGGAAGCAGAGGCCACTCTATCAGCTAGAAAATAATTAGATATAGATAAATAATTTAGAGTGCCATGTGAAGTAGAGCTCGCATGACTCATCCCGAGAAAAGGTGAAGTTCAGCCATGAATACAGCGACATATCTTTGGATTGCAATATGCCGTGCCCTCAGCCGTGATTAGTTGCAGATACAAATTGAATGCTAGTTGCCCACACTCACACACACACTCGCATTTACACTGCTCTGAACTTTTTTAGGCGAATTCCATTTGCAACCCCCACCTTAAAAAAGTACATAAAAAATAATAAAGAAAAGGAAAAAATGCAAAGCGCAGGCAGCCGGAGTAAAAAAGAAGTGAAAAAGATCAATTGACAAATGGTTTGGGCCACAAAACAATAGACGTCGGCGTCGACGCTGTCAGCGGCAGCGCGGTCGGCGTCGCTGCCTGCATACAAAACAGGTAAGTTGAGGCAAGCATAGGTGGAAAAAGGCCAGAGAGAGTGAAGGAGAGAGGTTCGGCCACGTAGCGAGCGAAAAGCTGGCTGCTACGAATACCGTTGCAATGCCGCTGCCGCTGCCCGCGGCGACGCAGGCGCAGGCGCAGATGCCGACGCCGACGCCAGCGACGACGCCGACGTCTGGATTGTTCGCGACGTTGCGCATGCGCAGCGGTATAAAAAGCTACCGCTCCACCAGAAACCACACACATTTCAAGTCGTCGGTGCCAGTGGAGCGCAGATTCAGTTAAACAGTTTTCAGTCTCAGTTTTTTCAAGTGCGGTTCCGTCGGTTAAAGTCCCGATCCCAACTAAATACAAATAACTACACTCGCAAAATGAAGAAGTTTTTCGTGGTGTTTGTGGCATTATTCGGAGCCGGTATGTATCTTTAGCTAGCTAAGTGAAATGAACAGCGGCGAGTGGAAAATGCTTTTCCGCTTGCGCAACATGAAGGACACTTGAGTGCTGAAAATCAGTGTGCAAAAATCGAGAGTGTGCTTGTGCAACGACGGGTAAATCAACTATCACTGCTCCACTTTTACCAGCGATCCAAAAAGAAACGAAATCGAGCAGGGAAAAGCGAAAACGAAATCGAAATCGAAAACGAAAAGCGAGACCGAGCAGAGGGAAATGTAATTGAGCAAGTCCCAGCCCAGCCCGAGTTTTCCACGCAGATACACAGATACAGTTACGCTGCGCAGTATCTGTATCCATGCATCTACGAATCTCTGCATCTATTGGCCTGGCTCGGTTCGATTTCATTACCTCATCGAAGCCGCCTTAAAAGCTGGGAGAGGTTACAACAGCGACGATCGTCTGGCTCCGCTGCAGCTCGATTGCGAAATCGGTCTCGGTGTTGTAAGCGATATTTAGATTCGGGCTGCATTAGATAACCAGCGGAAAAAGCCTCGGATTCCTGGCTTTAATTTCGCACACTCCACTGGGGTGTGGCCGAGTCGAGATACGCCAATTCTGACATTGACATTGAAAAGCTCTTTAGATAGCCGCCTCCAAAGATGCCTAATGGGCGAGATACAACTGGGCTAGGCTCAGGAATTTTAACTACGCAACCACTCGGCCGCTCCCAAAATCGCAAAATCCCCAATCCAAATCTAAAGCCGTTCGCTTTTTGGTTATTCAACCTAAAACACTTGCGAATTGCGTGCCATGCATTTTTTCTGCCAAGTCGTGCATGGCCGTAAAAAGCAATTTCGCTGCTCAATTTTAATTACCAGCAATTGCCAAGTTATTAAACTTAACAACGGGCCGAAACATAAATGCTTTAATGGGCCCATTTTGATGAAAACCCGCCGTGCACTGTCAAGTTCAAGTTGGCATTAATTATGCAACGGCACTTGCCAGTTCAACTGCTCACTTGCTCGCTTGTTCGACTTTAAGGCCCCGACTTCCCTTTAAATGGGGGTCGAAAGTGTTACAGCCAGCCTGCTAATCACGGCGATAAACAATTTAAGCGGGCCAAAGATTTCCGAAAAACGAGAGCGCACACAATAAATTTCCGCATTTGACTCTTGATTATATTTTTCCCTTCTTGCGGTTCCGTATCGAGAACTAACACCAACCGCAGCTGCAAAAAAGAATGTGGCCAAAGACAAACAAAATAAATTTTGCCATTTTTCTATTTTGCCATTGCCACACAGGCAGCAGCAAGTCACGCTTGAAAAGTTTTTATTTTGTGGCAACAAAATCAAATGAAAAGGGCCGCCGCAGCCGACATGCAACTGGGTGTGCCGACTTCTATAGGTTGCATTAGGCCAACACACACGCGCCGGGCTATCTATGCTGATTTATGGCCAACAGCGGGGAGGGCCGAAATACGGCGCTGTTAAAACTCAATTTGCATGCCACTTTTGGCGGCGACCGCGGAGCATTGAAAATCAATTTTTCTCAAAAGCGCCAGCGTCGATGCGTTAAATTTGAAAAAGTCGTATCTATTCAGCGGTAAATACATGAATTGCGACTAAGTCGCCTTCTTGGGCCATCGGATTTATTGCTCGATCTGTGACGAGTCGAAACTATTTGGGATTTCAGCAACCAAAAGCCATAGAAACAATTGAAAACAAAAAAAACATTTGTGGGATATCAAATATTTTAACAAAAGTACGGGCAAACAAAACTTAACTTAGATTATATTGTCTGTTTTTATAACGTAAAGGTTTTTTTATGAAGTCTGTATAATTGCTTTTCACAGCCTAAAACTTTTAGGTATTAAAATGAATTCAGTTTCCCTTCTTAAATCCGAAGTATTATCGAATCGGTCGTCAAATAATATCAGAATTCTGCGCACTTCCCAGCCAACAACCGTCGGGCAATAGACAAACAATGGACGAAACAATTCAAACGCAGATTAACCCACATACGGACGGGCCGCCAACAATGTGGGCAAATATTTAAATATCATTACGATGTTGTCGGCGCACCGTATGCAAAAACAGTTTTTGGAAGACGGCAACATTTAGCGGAAATGCTCGAGTGCTGTTGTTGCCGGGTAAATACCTAACGGGCCAAAGGCTCCCCAACGAAACGTGCTTAAATGTCAGCAATTTTCTTGATTTATACGGCGGCGATGTCTTGCCAGACAAGAAGACAAACAGCGATAAAAATAACACCACACTATGCCGGGCGGAGTGGAGTTACAGCCCGGCAAATGATAGATACACACTCGAGCTGTCGAGGGCCTCAAAAGAGGCAACCTGCGATTGCGATTGCGATTGGGATGGTGATTGCAACCGCAGGAGCTGGCGGCGATTATGGGTCCTGGTCCGTGTCCTGGCCCAGGTCCTTCATAATGCCGCTGAGTTTGTTTGCTGGCATGCCAAATGCTAATGCCCCGCCCCTCTGCGGGGTTCATTGCTCTGATACTGGTATTTATGGGCTGACAACTGAGTTGGCCGCATGCAACGGGGATTTGTCATCATTTGTCATGAAACGATACGGCTGTCTTCCCTTCGAGGCGACCAAAAGATGTGTGGCCCGGGAAAAAGATACTCTTCTCGATGCGTATCGCTCGCATCTAATTACTGAACACGGCTATGAATTATTGAAAAACCCACGGTCAATTTGCAATTTTGCTAACGCATTCATTTGTTAATTTTAAATTATGAATTCATTTGCATCTTGACAGTGTCTGTCATTTAAGCAAAGCATAAATTAATTTCATTAAATCGAGCTCCATAGAGCTTGTAATTTGCGCCGCACCAGTGTTGTGTGCATTTTTGGTTAATTAAATGATTATGTTAATGGACGAGCGGATGTACGAATGATAAACAGCGACTGGGGGTCAGCCAGTGCCAATGGTGTGCAATCAACCAACAAGACCAACACAAATGTCGGTTTAACTGTTAAAATGTCAATAAAAATGTATTATTTAAATGCACATAAACAGCGACACCCATCCGCATTGTTTGCGCCAAAGGAGCAAAAAATGTAATTAAGCGCTCCGCGCTGATAGATAAACCAATTATGGCCGAACAGTAAATTAAATAGCACGCCACACCAGGCAATCAGTCTAACTAGCTTATAAATAATTCGCTGGCTCACGTGGTCGCTGCAGATTGTGCCATATATAGTGGAGCACACACATAAATACACAGTGTGCTGCATTGGCATGCCGGTCAAACTATTTATTTCCAAGGTGCGCCGGGCGGCACCGTCGAGAACAAAAGACAGTTCGGTTGCCAGACTTCAGAGTGGGTTAGTAGTTGGTCTAGAATCTGGCCGAACCGGTTCTCGGCCAGAATGTGGGCTAGCCGGGCTTTTGGCTTTCATTTTCGTTCGTCTTGCGGTCTGCTCGAAGCTAATTCAGCCGTTATGTCATGTCAACAGAATCTCAGCTCTTGTTAGATAATGGCTAAAGTAGCGCGTGATATGGTTAGATGCTATCGCTTTCAGCAGAATTCCAACAGAATGCTAAGTATGTGAGTCACTTTTCGGGTTGGACATAATGACTTGTTTTTCAAAATGCTTTTAAGAATAACACCCATCAATTCTCTTGAAATCGAAATGTTGATCAATCTTAAGCCTTATTTTACTACATTACATTTTTAACTTAATATGATACTTGGGAAACATACTTAAAGGATTGGTATCAGAAAAAAACAAAGTCATAAAAAATGTGTTAAACACACCTTTTATGATAGTTTTCCTGCCTGCTTGCCGCAACATTAGGCTTGGCAATATATTGCGCATACGCACTGTGCGCCAGGTGTCTCAGTAATTGCTTAGAAAACATGTGGCCGGAAGCACACACAGCTGTAAGTGCACAATCATCGCCCGGGGCATGTGTGTGTGCGAAGGCATTAGGACTGCGGTCCATTCCTGCGGCTGTTGCAGAAAACAACTGCCACATTGCACTCTTTCCGCACAGTGGCAGGTGAAACAAAGGTATTGTGGCGGAGTGGGAAGGCTACTTGGCTACTGGCTCAGTGAATACCTGGCTAAGTGCTCGCCAATGGCCGTCCTCGAACCATGAAACGCCCGGCTAATTGATGTCGCTGACTAATCTTACCAGACTCCCATAACAAACGGCGATCAATTAGAATTCCTTGGGTTTAAAAATTATAACAAACGCGCCAGCTACATTATTAAATTCAAATTTGTATTGAGGCTGCGATCAAACTGCGTAATTAACAAAATTACAATAAACAAATGCGAAACGCAAAACGTACAGCGAGTAAACAATCAATGTTTTTTTGCGAATCGGAACTGGCTAAATGACTGCCTAAGCCAATCATATATGTGTGGCAAAAATAAATACGCAGCGAAAATAACAGTTTTTAATTAAAGTCAGCAAATAATTTTATGGATGCCACAGTTTTGATTTATTCGAGTCTCTTTCGCGAGCGTGGCAACTGCGTAAATGTAAAATTTGATATTTGATTAGTTTACACACACAAAATGAAAATTGCATGTTGTTTATGCAGGCCAGCGAATCAGTTGATTTTTCTATGTTTTCATTCAATTGTTGCATTCATGCGGTTTCCCAGGCGCTTTGCACCTGCTTTTGTGGCGCCCAACGTGGGGCCGTCCGCGAGCCTTTTGGCGCCCAACGTGGGGCCTGACCCCGGACTTAGCCCGCGGCTTAGGCAATTGATGCGCACTTTTGATTGAACAGTGAGCACTGAACATTGAACATTGGAAATGAAACGTGACCGCAACTCTGCGGCTTTGCAATTAGATTATCACACACCCACATGGACCCTCCATGGGGGGCGAAATTCTTTTCAATGCCAGACTGCACGTGGGTAATTATTTTTTGACTGCTGCCATTTGATTTTCCACGCCAAATATATAGAAAATGCCGGCAAATACCGCATTAGTTAGTTGTACAAATGCAATTTAGTTCGTTACGCCCTGCGGTTGCATTGAGCTCAGCTTCCACAAAAACAGACGAGTGCAGATGGGAAAGGAGAAGGTTGGGGGAGGGGATAAGTCCTTGGTGGCGCATTTCAGGTGCTTCAACTCTCTGTCACAGGGTTCGGTGTAATTCCATACCCAAAAACGAGGGAGAGAAAAAACACCGCACGAAACAAAAGTAAATGCAGTTGGCCCTGAGCTGTCAGCGATCCGTGTGTGTCTGCGACTGCTGAAAGTTGCCTTCGAGATTTATTGGCAACCGTCGTCTCTCTGTCAGACATCAGACTTTTTAAAGTGAATGCCTTTTGGGCCAGATGACAAATGGCCATGCCCAGCGTCATCATCGTCGAGCGCGCCTTGCCATCATAATGATAATAAGCATCTTGGATACGTGTGTATCTGCATCTGCTTGGCTTGCGCAATCGTTGGGATTCCTTGTTTCGTCTGTGACTCTTCTTGGAATGACTTTTCGGGTTCATTGGTAACTCGCATTTTCGGACAACAATGAAAAAGGAAAGGCCACGTGCTGAACGTTAGATAACATAAAAAAGATTCGCTATTGTGAAAAATGTACCAACATTTTCTATTAAACAGAAACATTTAAAATTCAAAACCAAGCACACAGAAATTTGTACACTGATTTCAAGCGGACTAATTTATTTAGCTAGATCCAATTTACAACTTTATCATATTCATAATCAAATTCTATCTCTGTTGCAGCTGTGGCCCAAAGTAGCTTTAAGTGTCCCGATGACTTTGGATTCTATCCACACGACACGTCCTGCGACAAATACTGGAAGTGCGACAATGGCGTTGCCGAGCTGAAGACCTGCGGCAACGGTCTGGCCTTCGATGCCACAGACTCCAAATACCTCACCGAAAACTGCGACTATCTGCACAACGTGGATTGCGGCGATCGCACAGAGCTGGGTAAGTTGTCAATTAAATAAGGGAAAACAAACGTTGAAAATAACATTGAAAAATTCATTAAATGCGAAAAAAAATACTTGTACTATAAAAATACAACTTTTAACGGAATTAATTAAACTTAGTATTCGTAAGCAGCAAAGTTGAAATTAATTTTGTAATAAATAGGAATTTTTACTGTCAGGTCGTATAAGAAATATACTGTTGAAAATATCAATACGCAACTGCACTAATGAGGAATTATATCGGGATAACTAAGACTTAAAACTGATTAATATAAATATTTTACAGTCAAGTTAAGACTTAAAACTGATTAATATAAATATTTCAAAGTCAAGTTAGGACTTAAGACTGATTAATATAAATATTTTAAGGTCAAGTTAAAGCAATTTGTATATTATTCGGGAAGGTATAATGTAAGGTCGTATAACACATCCAATGTATACCCATGTACATATTTTTAACGATATTATTATATTTTGAATAGAACCCCCAATCACCACTCCCCACTGCTCCCGCCTGTACGGCATCTTCCCCGATGAGAACAAGTGCGACGTGTTCTGGAACTGCTGGAACGGCGAGCCCTCCAGATACCAGTGCTCCCCCGGATTGGCCTACGATCGCGATGCTCGCGTGTGCATGTGGGCTGATCAGGTGCCCGAGTGCAAGAACGAAGGTGGGTTTATACACTCTACAAAAATCAAATGGATCGAATGACTGAATATTTGCCTGATTTCAGAGGTGGCCAACGGATTCTCCTGCCCCGCGGCCGGTGAGCTGGCCAACGCCGGATCCTTCTCGCGCCACGCCCACCCCGAGGACTGCCGCAAGTACTACATCTGCCTGGAGGGCGTGGCCCGTGAATACGGATGCCCCATCGGCACAGTGTTCAAGATCGGAGACAGTGATGGCACGGGTAACTGCGAGGATCCCGAGGATGTTCCCGGATGGTAAGTTGGAATTTATATGCGACTTATCCCTAGGCTGGCACCTTTTTGATTTGTCTTGCTTTGCACTCCGAAAATTTTAATATTAAATTGAATAGGGTTGCAGGGGGCATCGTGCTTGGTTGAACTTCCCACTTATTATTAGAAAATATTCTCTATTATTCTGAAATAGATACGAAAATTTCTAACCAATAATTGGTCATTTCTCTATTTGATAATTTTGAAAACCAATCTTCACTCTGATATACGGGTTAACATGTGTGGCTGCATACTCTTGAAAACCATTCCAAGTGATGAAAAATCTTTGGTTATTTCTGCTTCACCCTCTAAATTTATTTTTTAAGTCTTGGGCAACCCATCCACTTGAGGTTTTCTGCCACGCTTGCACCACTCAGCACCCATCACCACACTCCTCACCCTCTAAACTTTCACTGTCCACTGTCTGTACTCAACACATACCACATCTCACATATCCATATCTCTGGCCTATTCTGACATATCTCTATATCCTTGGTCCCATTTACAATTACAGCGAAGACTACTACGGCGATCTGGATTTGAAGAGCATCCGCAAGAGCGAGCTTCTAGCTGGATTGAACAGTGAAGGTCGCACTAAGGGCGCGCAAAAAACCAAAGCTGCCTCCTCCTCCTCCTCATAAACATAACAACTACAACAAGAACCTACAACTTTAACAACAATAACTAAACAACAACAGCAACTACAACTACAAAACAATACAACAAGATCAATCAACTCAGATCCCCAGTTCCCATCCTGCCAAAAATCCAAACCCTCACATCACAAATCAAATGAAAATCAAAAGAGATAATACTCAGCCTCAAATCGAAATTCGAACCACATCAAAAACTATTTTCCTGCCATTCTCGAACTTCTCAGTTGACTTCTGTTCTGTGTTTCTAATTTATGAATCTATAAATCTCTCTCGTTTCGTCTGAGTCAAACTGTTGCTATCTCTTCATGTTTCTGTTTTCCAACAAATTTAAAACATATCGAAATTGCCACGCAAATTAGGCTCCAAGAAAATGACACAAAATTTTGTAAACAAAATATAGAGAACATCGAGGAATGAAAGAAATCGTTCAAAATGAAGCGTAAAATTTAGAGATTTGTACATTTAAGTGATCCTTGTTTATAAGCTTATAATTTTATTTTATACATAAAAAAACAAAAATCAAAAAATATATAAAAAAACAAAACAAACTGGTTCTATTTGTTTCGAAGGTTTTTGGGTGAAACATAATTCATTTTTGTTCAGTTTTTTTAATTGTCTCTTAAGGATCATAGTTTTTGCTTGATAATAACATTGTCCTACACTTTTAGTGACTTTGTAGTGTAACCGCAGTTTCGCTTTCGAATTCTGAAAGTACTCATCAAAGCGAGTCAGAACTCGTTTGAGGTTCCTCTAGGTAAGCTCACGATTTGATATTATAGCAATGCTACGATTTCAAATATAAATTGGCGATATCTTAAGGGACAATTGTCATTTTCTGCTCATGTCTTAATGATTATTTTAGATAGAGACATTTAATATCAAAATGCAAAACAAAATAGGAAAACAGTATTTAAGATTTCGGAAATATTAAAAGTATTTAAATACGAACTTCTAAGTTTGCATTGCACTTTTGAGTTTACCGTTTGATAATCACTGTCCTGATATTGCCCTTTTAGATCGAGTTTTTCAAAAAATCCTTAAGTCGCTGCAATATAAAAACGCCAGATAAGCCAGAATACCGACAAATGGGCTCTGACTCGTTGCGATGAGTACTTCTAGATTTAGAAATCCAAGCTGCGGTTACATTTTTCGTGTTTCACTGTGTAATGAAACATTTTAAGGATATTCTCTATGAACATATCTTAAATGGAACAATTTGATAAACATTCCTTGAAGCCATTTCTAAGAGAGCAGTGAACAGGGGGTGTATCATAGTTGGGGGAACTCCACTATAAGGTTCTTTCGGTTTTTTTCCCCTTTGACATCGTTAGAGTCTGTAAATAATAAGTAAACATGAAACTTTGCCAGCCATATTTGCGGCAAATGAAAAGTTGGCTGGCATTTCGAGGCGACCAGGAAGTCTTTGCCTTCGTCGCCGCTGACGTCTTTTCAAATGCACAAGAACTTTGTTAATTATTCATTAGATTCTATAAACAAAAACGCGATACAAAAACTTTAAATGAATTTTCAAATTATCAACACAATTGCAGGCAGAACCAGCAACACGCACACACACTCACAGATTTACTGAGGGGTAAATGGAAGAGGGGGAGGGGAAAGGGGAAAGGGGAAAGGGGAAAGGGGCAACCGTGGGCAGTGGCACCTCGATAAAGGTCCTGGTGGGGCTTCAAAAGGGCGGGGCTTCCCTCTGCCCCCTCTAACTCATAAAAGCTGGCAACTTTAACTTTTGCCTCTGTGTGCGAATGTCTCTGGCTGTGTGGGTGAACCTGCGCTTGTGTGCATTTATGGCGCACTGGAAAAAAGTTTTAAAACTAATTAAATAAAAATTATAAAACTATACAAACTCAAGGCACAAGTTGTCGCAAAAGGACATTTTCTGCTCCCCCTGTCTGCGTGTGTGTGTGTGGGATGGCTTTGTGTGTGTCGCATAAGCTCTTTTTGGCATAGAAAAGCCGCGTAAAGAGCTCTCGGAATTTTGGGGCAAATATGAGCATAAAGTCGCCTGCATCCATTCAGTTTGATGTTGCTCTTGGCTCAGCTCTTAATGCCACTCGCCACTCCCATTTCCCTGGTCTTCGTCCTTGGTCCTGGGAGCACACCACACCAACCGCTGGATGTCATCTTTTACTTTAATATATTTCGGAATGCTCTCGTTGTGGCTGCGGGCTGGCAGTTAAGTGCAGCAAGTAAGCAATCTTCAATTAAAAGTTGCTGCTTTCCCCACTTCGCCATAAGAATCCTGTGTGTCCTGCTTATGTTTGCGGCTAACAGAGGTTAGCTGTGGAAAAAAGGGACTCAAAACGGATAACGCACGTCGTACATACAAGTGTTTTATAAACAAAAATGATTTGAGTTTAACAAAATTACTCCAGTGTCCAGTGCGAAAGTAATTGCATCACTAGGAGAAAAGTTGGTGGAAACAATTTTGATTAAGAGAGAGGGAGCCTTGGAGTATATTAGAAGAGATATAATATACTCGTTCTTAAGTGTATTACAGTATACCTGTAATAGGAAAAAGACTTTGTAAAAATTTGTTCGATCTTTGAATAGTTTTGATACCAAGAAAAAATTATGTTTTCAATACCGTTTAATAATATTATCTTTGGTGGCATATATATTTTGTCTTTATAATGCTCAAGATCCCTAAAACAAATAGAAAAACAAAGTTTTGGGGCTATTATACATGCTTATTGTACAATAGTTATATAATATAACTGCAATAGAAGGGCGACTTTGTAAAGTTTTATTGGATCTGTAAATAATATTAAGACAAAGAAATAATTTTTTTTTCAACTTTCTTAAAATAGTTATGTTAGCTTTATAATAGTCAAGTTCCCTAGTTTTTTACCTCGTAATACATAGGCCCATTTTACATTCACGAATTAATAACTGGATGGGTAATTGCTCAATCTTTTTGAGGCCTACATTTTTAGAGACCAACTGCTGCTTTTTGTTCTCCGTGCAGAAGTGGCAACTCGGCAGCAGTCACTTGCCAACCGCAGTGCAGATACGAGATGGGGAAACCCTGACGAGGAGACCCTGTGGGCGAGTTGAGTAACGGGATAGTAACTCCTGATGGATAATAGCCGGCGGACTGCTCTGTGAGTCTGTCCGCCTGGCAATGAAATCCTTTTAACATTTTGACTCTAATTAATTTTAATGATGATATAAACGCACAGGCGGAACATAAAACTAGAGAGCAGGCCAAAGTTATGAGCCGGCCACTGCTTGTCAATATATACAGAGTCACAGCCGAGGGATCTAGCTTGGCCAAGAAATCCCCGAAAAGAACGAGAAACGTAAATAAAAGAAAAACAATTTTGGACCACTAAACAAGAGCCATATTTTGCAGCTTAGACCCCCAGCCGACTACCGCCCCTGCCATCATGATCCGCATCTTCATCAGGGCGGCGAATAAGCCGCTACATTTATGGTGCTGACTTCTCAACAAGGACCAAGAGCTGTCCTTGGTTTTTGGTCAATTCCATTTAATTTAATTTAATAGCCTTGCGCTTTTTGTCATTCGCTGCCCAGATCCGCACACACAGCGCGCATTTTATATGAAGACAAGTGTTGAACTACACAGAGAGAAAAAAATAAGAGTTAGGAAACCATTTTATTTATTTTTGACAAGGAAATATAGTTTCATGGAGGAGGTTCTTATGTGTATATTCAAATTATTTTATTTTCCACGTTGGGGAATAGAACCATATTAAAAAAAAATGTTGTAAAGTAAAATAAAGTAAATATTATATATTCATTTAGAGACTTGATATGACTAAACTCTACAAAATTTACTATTATTTTTCTGCTTTACAACTTTTAAAATGTATAAAACTATAACCAGTTTGAATAACAATTCTTATGTTATTCTAAATTTTACATATAAAATGTACATAATTTTTTTTAAAAGCTATCCCATTTTTTTCAACAATTTTTATGAGCGTAGCCGATGGTGGAGGATGAGAGGACATGCATGTCCTGGCAGCGAAAGCGTGCCTCGCCTGCTCATCGCCACTGCCATCGCACTTGTCCTTGTTGCCTGCGCTTTAAAGGCAATTTGTTGTTCGCTGATAATGTTGTTATTGCGGCCAGAAGGCAGCCCAACCAGCCAGCGTCTTTTAATCCTTGACGTCCTGTTGCTTTGCTCTGTCTGCTCCTCCCTCGACCTCCCCCGTCCGCGCTATTCCACTTTATCTGGTCAGGCCACAAATCCTGGTGAGCGGCCCGAGCCCTCCCGTCCGCAGTGCTCGTAACAAGATTTTAACAATATTATTTTTAATTACGGTTTTAATAAATATTTCCTTTGTCAATTTACAACACAATCCGAGGCGCTGCTCGGGGCTTAAGCCAGAACCCATGGGGAAACAAAACGGAAGTCGGACGCACAAACATAAAATTCTTTTCGTTACCTAATCAAATTTTGTCGACTTGTTAACCATGTACATGCATGCCACAAATTCCTCGGAGCGTGACTGGCAAGAGACAAAGCAATTTAATTAAACAAATCAGAGCCGGGCCAAGGAAACCCCTATAACGAAATTTCCCTTTGACTGCTATTTAACAAGAATTTTTATTTATTTAATACTTCCGTTTCTGCTTTTTACAGCGAGGATTACTATGGCGATGTAGACCTGAAGGCTCTGAAAAAATTGGGTTTTTAAAAATACACACAGACCTCACAGCACACACACAAAATTTAAGTCACGGCAGTTTGAGGCCTGAAAGTCAATGCAGGAAGGCACGAAGAGAGGCGACAAAAGGAGCCAAGGATGGCGAAGGATCAGAAGGAAACCACAATAACAGTGGGCTTTAAATGCTTGCCACAGATACACTCAGAAAAAACAGAGCCTGGACTTTTTAAAAAAGAATACTCAATAAATGAAACAATTGGATATATGTATGCTAATTAAAGGTCAATCATACTTAATTTAAGCAGAAAAGCTTTTCAAACCTAATAAGGCTTCTGTTCCTAAATAAGAAATGATACCTAAAAATCATATTTAAATTGGTAAAGCATGATCAAAAATTCAAAAGTCAAGAACTGTTCTCTTGATTTCTTACAGTGCAAAATCACAGATACACAAGCACACACATACCACAGGCATAAAAAATA